GAAGGAGATATATGTGTGTGTGTGTGTGTGTGTGTGTGTGTGTGTGTGTGTGTGTGTGTGTGTGTGTGTGTGTGTGTGTGTGTGTGTGTGTGTACGTACATACACAAGGCTATATAGTCACAGGAACATAGGAACTACAACACTTAGTTGGACCGTGGGCCCGTCTAACTAGTGTAGAGCAGGAAATTATTTTCCCAACCCAGGAGAATTTTTGAGATTTTGAAAATTTTTCCCATCCTGAATCAGGGCAAAGTCAAAATCTTAAACATTTTTACAAACTGACTGATAATAAAAGAAAAAAAAATCAGAGCAGGCCAATCAAAATGTTTTGTTTTGATCGTTTCTACACATTTCATTTTGATTTTGACTTTTTTTTAAAATTCTTTTAAGTATAAATTAAGTAAAATTTTGAAACAAAAAGCCATTATGAACCAAAACCCAAAATGGTTCACTTAGAAAATGGCCAAACATCCCATTTCAACTATTTTGAAACTTTCCCCCCAATGAGATTAGTCTAAACTCCCCCTTTCCCGTGAACAGTTTTGGTTTTGACAAATCTGGATGTAAAAACATTCCCGGCCAGTTCTATATCTAGCCTGTCCCCTACATTAGCCAGCAGCAACTGGTGTCAGAGAGAAAAATCCTGCAGGAGGCACTGTTGGGATAACCGTCTCCCAGGGAAATTTCCCTCCTGACCCCTATTAGAGATTGGGGCTCATGCCCTGAAGCATGAAGGTTTCTAGCCCTTCCAAAGCAATAAGATATTTATTTTTCATAATTTGCTAGCTGTAATGCTGGCTAGTCTCACTACACGTTTCTTTGCTGCTAAGCTGTTAGCCTCAATGCTGCCATGTCCACTGGCTCACTGCGCCCTGGGTGGAAAAACACCTTATTTTGCCAGACGTCAATTTGTCATCTTCCAGCTTTGTGGAATGGCCCCTCTCGTTCTTGCAGTCACATGAAAAGCCTTTCGATCGGGCTCGAAGCAGCCTGCACTGTCACTAGCCCGAAGCACTGAAGATGAGCTCCAAAATCAAAGCCCTCTTTCTAAAAAGCTGTCGGATCCTAAATGCAGCAGGGCCGGGGGGCTCTCCCAGGCAGGCAGAGAGAGGGGACAGACGTGGTGCTGGGCACTATCATCCATCCCCTGCTTGACCCACGTGCAGCAGGGAAAGGTCCCGCAAGGGATGGCTTCTCATCGCATTTCCAAGCACGTGGGCAAGTGGCAAGCCCCATCCTCTAAAGCAGTCGCTGAGGTCTCCAAAGGCAGCATTGGGCTCTGCTCTGCTCCTGAGACAGGCCATTATGATCCACTGCATAGAATTCCTGGTCGGCGCAGAGAAATAGCCCCCCATGAGAAAGCAACGGCAAGGCCAGCCCCACCCTTGGTGGCTGGGAGCTCAGATACCACGGGGATGGGCATGGGTGAAAGGTGGCCTTGTGGCGAAGGGGCTAGGTTGGGACTTTGATGGGGCTGAGTATCCAACTCTGCCATTGACACTCCAGTCAATCACTTCATCTCTCGGGCCCTTGGTTCTCTGCTGATCAAGTTATAATTTCACATCGCATGGGGAGGGGGGAGGTTTAGGGGCAATCCAGGGGAGGGTCCCAGGTCCCAATCCCCGGAGGCGCTATGTGCTCCCTGCCGCAAAGCTCCCTGCCAGAACTAGGGTTACCATCAGTCCGGGTTTCCCCGGACATGTCCGGCTTTTTCAGCTTTAAATGGCCATCGGGGGGGATTTCTAATAAAGTAGAAATGGCCGGGATTTCCCCCTTCCCCTCATGCAGAGTGCGGCGTGGCTGATTGGACGGCTGGGCCTGATTGAAAGCCACTCGCAGCCACTGGGGCCTCTAGCAGCCAGAGTCCCTCCCTCTCCCGCGCTCCCTCCTCCCCAGCAGAGCAGCACGGCACAGTGTTTGGCTCCACGTGGAGCCCACAGCTCTCCCTCTGCCGGGGGAGCGGGGGAGCAGGGCAGGTGGGGGGGTGCAGAGGCTGCAGGGCGAGGAGGAGTAGGGCAGGTGGGGGCATAGAGGGAGGCTGCAGGGCGAGTGGGGAGCAGGGGGCACAGAGGCTGCAGGGGCAGGGGGCGCAGGGGGCACGAGGAGGCTGGCGAGGGGGCGGGGG